TTGAGACGAAGTCTCGCTCTTGTTCCCCAGGCTGGAGTGCAATGGTGCTATCTCGGCTCACTGCAACCTCTGCCTCCCAGGTTCAAGCAATTCTCCTGCCTCAGCCTCCTGAGTAGCTGGGATTACAGGCGCCTCCCATCACGCCCGGCTACTTTTTGTATTTTAAGTAGAGACGGGGTTTCACCATGTTGGCCAGGCTGGTCTCGAACTTCTGACCTCGGGTGATCCGCCTGACTTGGCCTCCCAAAGTGCTGGGATTACAGGTGATTTATCACTTTCTCAGCTACCTTAGTCATTTTCTTTTTATCCTCTGCACACGTGTTTATTTTAAATTTTAATTATAAATCTCTGATTAAAGAATTAAACAATACATAGACCTTATCTGCATCATTTAAAGAAAAACAATAGCAGTGACCGTGTGCACTGTGAGACAGAGACCATTGCAAGGACATTTATATGTTTGCTTTTCATTGTGTTGTTTCCAAAAAAAGTTTTACCATACATGCACAGGTTCCTAAACAACATGATTTTAGTTTTATGTTTCTGAACTTTATGTGAATGGAATTATACTATATGTTTTCTATTTCGTGGGTTCTTTTTCAGGCAGGACTGGTTTCGAGAACCATGTTTCTGCATGTAGCTCTAGGTAACTGGTGTTCATTAGCGTCTTGCATTCAATTTTGTGAATTTTCACAACTTTGACTCGTGTTCAGATGTGGCTGCTCTCAAACATGATGTCGTGGACATTGTTTTGTGTGTTTTCTGGCACACGCAGACTTGGGCCTTTGCCAGGTGCCGGGTCACGGGTAAGCCACTTTTAACTCTGTGTGGCCCCCAGCACGGCCACGCCGTCTTACACATAGTGCCAGTGTCCTCGGACTGACCAGGGCGCCTTGCTACTCGGTCCCGGGAGGTGACCCTTGCCTGACCTGTACCTGACCGCCAGCCTGCTGTGCCAGCCGTCAGTGTCTTCTGACACGGGGCACCCATTTTTCTGTTAGTTGTTGGTTTTGTTTTCTTAATCATTTGCAGAATTGATGTATCTGGGTGTGTGTGGCTTCCTTCCGGCAGCTAACGGGAGGCTGCGGCTGGCCGTGTGCTGCCTTCGTTATCACAGCTTCCTATGGCCACTGCTCCTTAAACTTTCCTGTATGTGGATATTACTTGTTTGCTGTTTCTTGTTGAATATCAGATATCCTGTTTTTTTTTTTTTTTTGCTTTTACTTTTCTTCTGGAAGTAACATCCTTTAGAAATTCCTGCAGAAGTTCCGTGTTTTGGTCGTATGAAAGTTGCCTCCTTTCCCCTTCATTGTTGAATGATCCCTCACAGAAGACAGTGCTGGGGAGGCGGCTGCTCTTCCCGAGGGCTCTGAGGATGTGATTGGTTCACTCAGTTCCACTGTGGCTGTTCACTTCCTTGGTAGGAATCTGTTGTGTCTCTCTGGGTGTCTTGTGGTCCTAGTGTTCTACATTTTTAGTAAGAGTTTTCACTTACCCCTGTTGATATTTTTTTGGACTTCCTCAATCTGAAGATTAGTGTCTTCCCGTAATAATGGGGAATTTTATTCCTTAACTTTTTTCTTTTTAACTTTTAATTTTGCTGTAATTTCAAACTTACAGAAAATCAGCAAAAAATAGTCCAAAGAATTACTGTTTATTTGTATGCATCCTTTGTTTTTTTCAGAATCATTTGAAAGTTAGTGGTAGATGTGATGCCTTCCCCCAACTAATCCAGGCCATGTTGCCTCAGATAAGCGTGGTCGCTCTTCAACTACGTACAGGGAATAGAGTTGGAAAATAACAGCGATCCGGCGTTGTTCTCTCATCTGTAGGCCTTGTTTATGTTTTGCTGATGGTCTATTGATGTCTTGTTATCAACAGGTGATGACAGGCCCTGCAGAGCATTCAATTCTCATGTCCTCCCTAATCTCCTTTGCTCCGGGACAGTCTCCTCATCATCTTTATGTTTCATGACATTCACATTTTAGAAGCACAGGGGCGGCTGTTTTGTAAAATGCTTCTCAGCTTGGGATTTCGGCAGTTTCCTTGTGATTGGATTCCAGCGATGCCACTGGACTTGGAGGCCGGCCACCGCAGTGGTACTCAGTGATACTGATACTTCGTTGCTGCTGATGCTGCCTGGAGCCTCTCAGTGAAGGTGGTGCTGGCGGGTGTTTCCGCTGTGAAGTTACATTGTTTCCTGCCTAATTAGCAGGTATCTGCTAGGGAGATAATCTGGGACTGTGCAGACAGCCTGCTACTCCCGGAGCACTGACCCGCAAGTCTCAGCCTCTTCTATGGTTCTTGCCTGAGTCTGTTACTGTCCTGGTGGCGGCTACTGGTCATCTGGTGCCACCATTCTTATGTTCAGGACGGGAAGCCCTCATTAACCTCAAGAGGTTCTTGGAAACTGTGACTTTTAAGAAATAATACAGAAGAAAACCAAGGTTTTTTTTTTTTTTTTTCTCACCAGTGTTACAATCAAATGACTGTGGAAGGACTGGCATTGTTTGAGGACCCTCTGTTGTTGGCTTCAAGTTGCAGTTTCCAAGAACCTATAGACGACGTGAAATGTGGACTCACGTAGTTAACTTTCTACTGTAAAGAGCATTCCTTTCCTCCTGATTTATGTTTTTCCTTATTGTTTACTTACATTAGTTTGATCTTGTAGATTCCTAACTTATTAACTGGGTTATAACCTTTTATTATCAATATCTGTTCTGCTGCCCAAATTGTTCTAGTTTGGCCAATGAGAGCCCCTTCATGCTGGCGTTTCTGGCAGGTCCCCCCGTTTTGGGGCCCTTCTTTACCCTCTTGGATACACAGACTGTCCTCATCTCTCCTGTACTTTCCCTGCCCTGGCCTGGAGTCAGCTGTTTCTCAAGGCGGCCTGGTTCCTTTCTCGGGGAATGCTATTTAGAAACCGGCTCTCGGCAGCCGGAGCTGTGAATAGATGTGTGTAGATCCATCCCTGCACCCACACACACCGGCCCCACCCGCACACATGGCACTTCAGTTCCAGCCCAGCCTCACAAAGGCCGTCAGCCGCCCTTCTCCTTTCACATTTGTTACTCCCTCCTCTGACAACGAGACACGGAGCTCTCAGAATCCATAATGTACTTCCTTATTTGTTCAGTCTCAATCCCAGAATATTCAGAGATTATTAAACTATGCCTCTGTGAAAAAGAAACCCCCAGCTAGAGTCCAGCAGTCACTGAAGGCATATGGTCCAGATACCGGGTCTAAAAGCCACTTTCGCAAGTTCTTATGCACACCCCACCCTGCCCCAGCGTGGTTATGTTACTCATTTGAAATGGGGTTTGGTTATTTGTTTCTGTTTGTATTTCATTTTAGAATTTTCCCCCCTCTTGGTACTTTTTGATTGTATTAATTTGCACTTTTTGATTATGTGAAACCCAATTGCAGTTTCAAAAGCCAGAACTGTATAGGAGCCAGACCCAGAGAAGCGGGTTCCCTACCCCTGCTGTTCCCCTGTCCTTTCCACCCTGTCCCCACGAGCTACCCTTTTTTCCTGGGTGGCCTTGTGTGCTTTAATTTGCCCCCTTTCTTGCGCAGAAAGAATGTCCTCTAGGGAACTCCTCTTCCCTAGCAGCATGTCCTGGAAGCCACACCATGTCTGTCCACAGGCTCCTGCTCATTCTTGAGGACAGCCACGTATACTCGGGAATTCGTCCAGCCACTCTCTTACATAGGGACAATTGGTGTACTGTACAGGGCAGTGGTACGATCACGGCTCACTACAGCCTCCACCTCGTGGGTTCAGGCAATTCTCCCGCCTCAGCCTCCCAAGTAGCTGGGACTACAGGCCCGTGCCACCGTGCCTAGGTAATTTTTTATCTTTAATTTTTTGTAGAAATGGGGTCTTGCTGTGTAGCTCAGGCTGGTCTCAAACTCCTGGGCTCAAGTGGTCTTCCCACCTTGGCCCCCCAAAGTGCTGGGATTTACAGGTGTGAGTCACTGGGCCTGCCATCTGAGTTGTATCTTCACAGTTGGCTTATGGAGTGATTTCTACCAAAAGATAAGCAGATATATCATTTTGTTAGCTTTTTTCTCAAAATTTCCTGTAGGAAACTTTACATCCATTTGCATTTCCGCCAGTGGTGTCTGAGCGAGCCTGTGCCCACAGGGCTTTGGAGTGGAGCGTATTACTTATTTGCTCATTTGGTGCATGAGGATATTTCAGTTTGTAGGGGCCTTTTTTCTGTCTTTGCCTTTGGCTTTTCTGTTAGGCTTTTGGTCTCTGTTCTCACAGTTTGTGAGAGTTCTACTGATGTAAGGGATTTTGGCCTTTATCTTTCATGTGTATTGCAAGTAACTGCTCGCGGTTTGTCCACTGTATTTTGACGTTCTTTCTCATGCTGCTTTTGCCTGTAAAAGGTTTTTCCTCCATGTATCAACCTTACTGTTTTTTTAAATTGCATCTGGATTTTCAGTCCTAGTTAGAAAGCCTTCCTTGAATTCCAGAAGATGTTTTCTTCGAGTGCTTGTACGGTTTCGTTTTTCACATTTGCATCCCCGATTCGTTTGGAGTTTACCCTTGTGTATGGCGTTAGGTTCGGGTTTACTGTTAGCTTTTCCCAGACGGTGGCCCAGTTGTCCCAGCACCATTTATTAAAACATCCCTGTTTGTCCCAGTGGTTGAGATGGCGCCTTTATCCTGCCCTGGAGTTTCGTCTGCCCTTCGTCTGTGTCTGGACTTTCTCACCGTCACCTGGTCTGCCGGGTTGACGGTGCCTGTTGTGCTCTCTGAAGTGTGGGGGCTTTGAGGCATGTGTTAGCGTGTGGTTGGGCATGCTGGGTTTCATTTTGAATGTTTCTCTAGCGCTCGTGCATCGGCATTGCCCGTCGCTGTCCCATCATCTTTCTTCTTTCTGTCTGGGATTCTGATTAGGTGTGTGAACCAAAAGTATCTGAGACAGGTCTCACTCAATTTTAAAAGTTTGTTTAGCCAAGCTTAAGGACGTGCCTGTGACACAGCCTCAGGAGGTCCTGACAACATGTGCCCAAGGTGGTCGGGGAACAGCTTGGTTTTATACATTTTAGGGAGACAGGAGACATGAGACACCAATCAGTATGCGGAAGATGAACATTGGTCCAGCCCAGAAAGGCAGTACAACTCGAAGTGTGAGGCTTTCAGATTATAGGTAGATTTTAAAATGTTCTGATTGACAGTTTGTTGAAAGAGTTACTATCAACACAAAGGAATGTCTGGATTATGATAAGGGGTTGTGGAGACCAAGGATTTACCATGCAGACGAAGCCTCCAGGCAGCAGGCGTCAGAGAGAATAGACTGAAATGTTTCTCATCAGACTTAAAAGAGTCTGTTCTATCAGCAATTCCAAAAAGGAAGAGGGTATCATGAGGCATATCTGGCTCCCCCTCCCCGTCACAACCGGAACTAATTTTTCAGGTTAACGTTGGAATGCCCTTGGCTGAGAGGAGGGGTCCATTCAGATGGTCGGGAGCTTAGAATTTTATTTTTGGTTTACAGATGTGTGTTACCGTGTCTTCCTCTGTCCTTCCAGTCCCCTAACCTCTCCTGCTTTTTATCTCTTTACCTTTATGTGCTGCATCCTGGGTCATTTCTTCAGTGCTATTTTACTGTTCACTAATTCTCTCTTCAGCTCTATCTATTAATACTTGATTAGTTAACTCACTCATTTAGTTTTAAATTTTAATGATGACAGTTTTGTTTCTTCAAGTTCCATTTGGATCATTCAGATCCATGTGACACTTCTGATAGTTATTAATAATAACAGCAGAGACATCTGTCTCCGTTCTTCCTTACCCTTGTTCCAGGGAGAGCGTAGGCTCTTCTAATGCCTCTTTGGCAGATGGGAAGCTAAGGCACAGGGAGGCTGAGGAAGCCACCAGGGTTGTACAGTCACTAAGTGGCAGGACCTGGCGGCCACTAGCTCCAGCTTCACCCTGGATGACCTCTCTTGTTTCTTCAAGTGTCCTTCACATGTGTTTTGGGTCAGTACCTGATTTTCCTACAATTGAGGTCTTTCCGGGACTTACTCCCGCTACCCATGGTCCTTGATTGTGACTTGATGTCCATCCTTCTTGTGGATGTTATTTTGAGGTTCATAGCGTGTTTCTCTAGAGAAGGTTTTTGCTGGTTTCTGCCTGGTGCTGGGAGGTGCTGCCTGGGACACACCTATGTTTGCAGGTGCCAGGGATGCTCGTCAGGCCTCATGGGTTGTCTGAATTCTCCCCAAACCATTGCGAGTGGTCTGTGATTATGAGTTTTGAGGGGCATCCTCTCTCGATTTGACCCCTTCTAGCCAACATGAAGCCCAGGCCCGGACATGTCCCTTGCAGGCCTGTCTTCTGGCTTCCCCTGCCAAGGGAGCTACAGCTGCTCCCACACACGCTCACAGGGACAGTGCAGTGGGTAAGTGGCAGTGCAGGTGGCTGTCCCCAGGACAGGCCCTGGGTTCCAGGCTGCCTTTCGTGTTTGATTCGCCCTGCCTTGAATTCTTGTCTTTGGAGTATATTCCTCACTCTTCAGCCAGCTCAGCCCTGAGTATAATTAGACGTCTCTAAAAGTGCGTGTGCCATATTGCCAGGCGTGAAGGCTTTTCTGAATCTTCCTGTCACCAGTGCTGTACATTGGCTTTCTTTCGAGGCCGTTATTTTCATAAGAAACTTTCTGTGTCCGTAACTTCCAGCAAAGAATCTGGGATATCTGGGGGTCTGGAAGTGCTAAGGGCTTGACCAGCTGTGTTTGTGAAGTGGCATGGAAAACTGGGATGATTCCTGTCGTCCTAACCTCTCGTGAGGTTAGGAAGAGTCCAGCCTTCGATATCAGTGCTCAGTGGGACGGCCAGCCCCCGACTGGAGGAGCAGGCTTGTGGGCAGCGTGGGGATACTTGGTTCTAATCCAGATCTTCACACTCTTTGGGGAGGAGACCGTTTCTAGCAAGTGAGCATCCCTTGGGTTTCTCCTCAAAGCCCCTTCTAAAATTAGTCCCTGGCTGCTGCAGGGACATTTACATCAGCGCATTTTGTCAAGTACTTTTGTTGCTTTCCATTAAGAGCATATTTAAAAATATGAAATGAATTCAGGCAGAAGCCAGTCTGTGCCTCTGAGAACATCTGTGTGCTGGTGAGAGGCAGAGACTGGGCAGTGGATAGCAGGCCGCAGCTTCCTCCTCTGCCACCTCGGAACGCCCCCAGGGAGGCACGGGACAGAGCCCAAGCCTGAGTGAAGCTCCCTGGCTGGGGGCACACCCTGCGCCAGGCTGGCCACCTTGACTCCTTGCTCTGCAGGCTGCACCCCACGCCTCATCTGCCTCCTGTCAGCAGCCAGTGAGAGGAGCGTGGGGCCTGACAGCATTGCCGGCCTCCTGGCTGGCCGCCCCCACAGTGCCGAGCTGGGGCGGTCTTCAGAGGCTCCGGGTCTCCCTCTGCAGATGAAGACATTGGGGGAACGTGGCCTGCCCACAGTCAGCAGGCTCCCCTCTCCGTGTACCAGGCTAGTCTGCCGGTGCCATGGCAGCTGGGCCACCACCACATTCTGCCCTCAGTGCTGTGATGCCGTCGAAGGGCATGCCTTGGAGGACCCACAGGAAGACCAACTTCATATCCATGGGACACGCTGTCAGCAATGCCACAGACCTTGTTCTGGATGCAGTTTTCCGTTTTTATGAAGGCAAGCGTGGATGTTTTCATTTCGTTGGATGCATAGAGGAAAGGAGACGAGTTCTCTGTAGCCCAGCAGCCCATTCTTAGTGTTTGCTTTAGAATGGAGGACAGTGAGGGACATTTTCCTCGTGAATTTCACCATCTGGCTTTGGCCTTCTTTCCAACAATTGAGGAATAAAGGGCCTAATGTGGAACTATGTGGGTGCGTGTCCTGCGTGTGGGCTCCTGGGCCACCGTGGATGGTGGCACTGGCAGCACCACTGCCATGCAGTTGGGGGTGGGCAGCAGGCCTCTTGGCAGCAGCTAGTGTCCTTCTCATCTTCCCTGTCAGGCGCTAGGAGCCCTGGCACCAAGGCTGTGGTGATGGTACCGGGGTCTCTCAGTTGGGAGGGGCTGCATTTCCTCTGCAGCACGGGTGGCTGGCTGGCCTGGTGTCATGCCCTGCCCAGGGGTGCCCCCGCCCACCCCTCCTTCCGGGTTGCGGTGTGGTAGGTGGCACCTTGGTGTCCAGTGCTTTGTGATGGTGACAGTGATGTCAGCGCCGAGGTTCCTCAAGTCTAAACTGAGATGATCTGGTGTGATTTTTCTTGGCTTTCAATTTTTGGGTAAGGCTTTTAGTGGGCATTCTTCTCTGTCTCCTTTTCCTCATGTTAGTCTGGGGCCCCAGGGAACCACAGAGCCTCCGCTCTGGGAGGAGCCTTTAGAGAAACCCTTTCTGAGCTCTTCCTTTCACAGGGGAGCGCTCGGAGCCACCGCGTGGGCTGCCCAAGGCCTCTTAGGTCAAGGAGCCTCCTGGCTCCGGTCCACACTTCTCCCTGCCATGTCCCCGCGAGGAGGCACCGCCCCGTCACTATTCCATGGTCATTGTAACACCTGCCGTTGAAAAGCATGGGAGCTTCGTGTCAGAATGTAGTTTAACATGTATTGTAACGTTTGCTTAGAACAGAAACTTGAAGTTCTCTAAGAAACGGAGTCCCCAGTGTGTGATTTTGGAGGGGCTGAGCTGTCGTTTCCTGTCATGGATCACAGTGCCCCCCTCCCCCTCACCTATGAAATAATGACAGCGGCCTCCGTTTCTACAAAGTCCTCAGTCGCGGGTGCTGTTTTATATCGTAAATCTGTCATCTTCAACTGGATGGTGTAACGCTCGGATTCTACATTTCCCGGATGCTCGGAAAGAAGTGCCAGGAGTTATGTGTTCTGCGGATCAGGACAGCTGACGCCGGCTGAGGACACTTCATCCACTGTTTGCACGGCGCTTGACAAATGCTACCCAGTCTAACGGTCCGGGTCGGGTGTCTCTGGGCTTGGTGCCTGCTTGTGCCACATATCTCAATGCCAGGCAAGACCAGTGTGCCGGTGACACAGCAGGGGACATGCGGAGTTCAGACTGCTGAGAGCTCGGAAGGGGCCAGGCCGTCCCCCTGGCCCTGGGGCTGCAGAGCGGGCACCTCACTCCGCGGGGTTGTAAAGTGGAGCTGATGCTGCTTGACCCCACGAAAGCTCACAGGCCTTTAAGGTGCCTGATAATGCTGGAATGAAACCACAGGTAGCCAAGAAGACCTGCCTGTCAGACTGTGACCGCGCAGATCTCAGCAGTGTTTAAAAGGTGCTCTTTGCACGCGGTTTTGGAGTTGTGGTGCTGCTCTGGCTTAACATTAGGGCTCAAGCAGGTTAACGTCAGGGTTCTTTTTCTTAAACGGCCAGCGGCCGTGGTGGTGTTAGTCGTGGCTAACCTGGCACAGGGCAGCAGAGATCCAGGTGTCAGGCCAGTGAAAAGGTTGAAGCCTCTCACCAGCGCGTCTGTTTTGGAGGGAAGTGTTGGACATTGCGTGAGGCCCCTCTGCACTCAGCGACCCTGCCCTGTGCTCCCGGGCCCACTTTTGGGTGTGCTTGGTTGGCATCAGGGTCCTGGCCCTGTCTGTGTTTTGGGGCCTCTATTTGCTTATCATACTTGCGTCATTGCCTTTACTCCCCGGGGGGGAAAGGAGGGAGATCCTGAAGCCATTCAGCCCTGCCAACCTGGGGCCGCCCTTGTGCCTGTGCTGTGCTCTTTCTGCTGGGCAGTCCTGCCCTGTGCAGTCTCATGGAGGTAGGGCTCATGGGAGGGGCCTTCCCTCGGCCCCAGCCGTCCTCCCGGAACATCACTGTCTCACAGACACACTGTGACCATTTTCTGTTGAACCTACTCTGTGAAACATTCTCTATCCTTGGTTCAGGGGAGAGCGAAATCCAGAATCTGCTGAACACCAGTGCTGTCACTCAGAGTTGGTGTGTCTGCTGTCTACAGGGCCCTGGACCAGGCTTGAGGGACACCTGGGGCTTCCACCCACATCCAGGGCAAACCTGACCCCCAAGTCACTGAGATGTCGGTTTTTCTACTAATCACGTTGGCTTTGGCCATTCTGTGTGCTAATAAGAAGTATTGTGTTCTCACCTGCACTTGGGCAGAACGGTTCACCCCAAGGCTGAATGACTGCTGTGGACCATTCCCCCAGCAGGGCGTCCTGGGGTTTAGTGGTTTGATTCTGAGCACCTTCACGCACAGAGCCCCTTAGTGGGTTCCCTAACTGGACGGCTGACGCTGCTGTGGAATCTGACTTTTTCTGGACTGAAGAGGATGGGCTGCTCTGGAGAAACTCCTTGGGCCTTGTGCCTGATGCTGGTTCGGGCTGCCCTGGCCACCCTCCCTCCATGCCCCATGGGACCAAGTGGCAGCATAGGAGGGGGCAGCTTCCAGAACACACTTCTGCTAGAGGCTCCTGGCCTCCGTGCTGGCATGGCCACATCCATGGCCTGAGTGTGCAATTGGAATGGTTTTATCAACACCAGTCCTCACAGCTTCCCCAGATGAGCAAAGGAGAAGGGGATGGTGTGTGGGGGGATTGCCCTCCCTTGAGGCCCCCCAGCTCCCAGGATGCTTGCTGGTGGAGCTCTGCCCGCGGTGGGGGCCATATGACTTGACCTCCGTCTTCTCCCTGGGCCCCACACTGGCCCTTGCCGGCAGGAACTCCTGCCCGTCTACAAGGCCAAAGCCTTCTTCCAGGTGCAAAAGTAAATGCAGGCCAGAGATAAATTGTACTTCCCTCAAACTTGGATGTGGAGTGACAGGAAGGAAGCAGGAGTGGAGCTGAGTGTTAGTGAGAGGTGGCTGAGAAGGCGGGGTCCTGCTTCTTGCTTCCTCGGGCATTTGCTCTAAGTGCTGGGTTTCAGCCTGGAATGATGCAGCCTCTGCACTAAATTTGATTTGGTGAACGTTCACGGCCCTGAATATAAACAGTGTTCTGGGCGTTCTTTGCGACTCTTGAGCCGAAACACTGTGGTGATCTCTCGTATCATCTGCTTGTTATGTAATGTGACAACATGGATATGAAATAGAAACCAGATGTCAGGGTGGAGCGGCTGAATTCTTCCTCAGCGAGCACCGCCGGGAGAGCAGGACTTGGGTTTCTCCTGAGTTACAGCGCCGAACGCCCTCAGAAAAACGCCTTTGGAGCGGTTTCTGGGATTAAGCGGAAGTCTAGGCTGAAGGTAAAGTACCAAGTCGGTACGATGAACTCTTTTTTAAGAAACTTGTAAGGGATTTTCTGTGCTGTTATGTAACTGCTCAGTGTCTTCCAGTGAGCTGGCGGCTTGTTATCAAGAATCCACTTAGAATGTTTGAACTCAGCCTCTGGGGGAGCTGGGAGCATTGTGCCACCTCCAGGTGCCTGCAGCGCGCTTCCGAGGGCTTGGGTGTAGAGGAAAGGGAAATCACCTTTCGCCTGCGACAGCCTTGCCCTTGGGTCCGGAAGCAATGAGGACTCGGAATGTGAGCGCCCTGCTACAGGTACAGGCCCCGGGGCAGTGAAGGCGCTGGCGGACAGCAGTCTTGGCACTTTGTGTTAGCAGATTCAGAGTTTCTGCAGTGGCTGAACCCCTGCACTGGGCTGGAAGTGGGGACACCCGGAGGCCTGTTAACCGCACTGTGCCTGGATTACACCATGAACATAGATCTTTGTGCTTTTGAAATACAGAAAACGAGCTCACCTAGATGCGAAGTGTAGTTCTGGAAGCAGTATCTGGCTGTGGATAGAGGTTATGTATTCCACCAACAATATCTTCATTATTGTTATTTTCCTTTGGTAGCTGATCTTTCAGAGAGATCTGCAGATTCCTCACTTTGCTAAGACCCTCTGGAAACAGGGAGCTAAGTAACTCCTCACTCCCGAGTTGATTATAGCCTCATGGAAGTGTGGAATTCTTATTACGAAAGACTGTTGCTGAGTGCCAAGCAGGTTATCCTCTTGTCCCGTGTCACTAGGGGGCCAGCTTGATCAGGGAGAAGGTGAGCGTGGCTCCCTCGTATCCCCAAGGCAGTGGACTCCCCCTAGTCTCTAGCTCTCTTGTCCCTAAGCTGATAGCTCATGGTCATGGAGGGCTTCCTGCATGCTGACCACCCCCAGCTCACAGATGAGGACGCTGGGACCCAGGGAGGGTGAGTGATGAGGTGCAGGAAGGACGAGTGCCAAGGCCCAGGGAGGGCGTGTGATGGGCCCGGGTCTCACCGTTGGGGGTGGGATGGGCCATCCTTGGCTCCTGGCGGCTCGTTGCTTTGCAGCGGCTGGTTGCTGTGTGGCCACTCACTTTGGGGGGAGGGCGACACTTTGCTGGGTGTTGCTGCTGGGCCTTGTTTTCCGTTTTCAGGTGGGGATCAGGAATTCCGAGAGAGTGGCTAAGTGTGATGTGGCTCGGGGTGTGTGGAGATGTGTGTGACAGTCCCCAAATCCACAGTGGCTGTGGGGTGGCATTTCAGGCCGGTAGAAATGCCTCTGGAAAGAAAGCACGAAACACTCAACATCCTCATTGCGTTTTGCTTGTTCTAAAAGAGAACGTGAAGAAGATCATCCCAGCAGCGTTTGCTTAGGCCGAGTGCGGTCACGAGAACATTGTCTGAGTGAGGAGGGCTCCTCTCACATGCATTTTCTTGAGCAGGAGTTGTGGTTTGGCTATTTGGAAAACCATGTTTAGGGTGCCTAGTGAGTCTGCGAGGTCCAGGAGGCAGGGACACTCACTTTTTTTAGGCGAGAGGATGGAGCTGCAGAGACAGGCCTTAGTGACCACTGGGCCTTCGTATCTCTGGCTGGCCCCTGACTGGTGGTGGGAGGGGAGTTCCTTTTTGTGGCTACTTGGTCCTTTGACGACTTGGGGTACCCACCCTTGAAACCCCTCCCTCCTGGGGCCCAGTGGCCACCTCTGGGCATCACGGGGAGCCACTCTTGTGTCGGCGTCTCCAGCTCCTCAGTGCTCTGCTTCTAAACGGAACACCCTCTTGTTTCCGAAAGTAGCCCGTGGTCTCCCGAGGGTCCTGGGCACAGCCCCCACTCAGCTGAGGATGACCACTGGGGCACGGACAAAGCCCAGGGCTCTCTTCTCCTTCCCTGTCAGGGTTTCTAGACCCTTCGTGGTCACCCAGGGTGGAAGGCAGGCACAGAGCTGGAGGGTGTGGCCTGAGATGGATGACTCGGGCCTCCGGGCTCACCGGAGTACTGAAGTCCAGAGGGCGAGTGTGGGAAGGATGGTATCACCCACCCTGCCGGTGGCCCCTGTGGTCCTGCGGCTCCTGCTGCTTCCAGATCACCCTGGGCCCAGGGTGCAGGGCCCGCTTGGGGAGGTGCACACTGGAGGCTCAGGCCCTCCTTGGACACTCCTGAATGCCCCTGTGCATCCCTGCAGCTCCTCCCAGAAGGTTCTCTCCATCCTCTCTGGCTCCCTGGGGGTGTGTGGGAAACCAGGCCAGGGTCTCCTGGTTGTTGACTGAGGTGGGGTCCTGCCTTCGCCCCTTAGCATTCACCCCCTACCCCTTATCACCATGTAAAACCCTGTGGGCCCTGGGCCCTGGCTGCTCTGCCATCACCTGGGCAGTGTGGGGGGCACATGGGGGCACGTGGGGCGCCTGTCGTAGCCCCTGTGTTTGACCTTGTTTAGGTGAAGAGCACCCTTTCCAGCTCACGTTTTGCATCATGACTGGGAAAGGTACGAAGTGAGTGTGTCGGGGCCTGGATGATTTGATGTCTCTACGGGCCGAGTATGGGACACACGATAGCTTGGCCCCCGGTCAGGTATTAGTCAGTCCTTGCTGGCACCTGGGCAGGGACACATCCGTGGATGGGGCCTGGCCAGGTGGCCTCTGAGGTCCTGTGTTGCAGTCACTGACTTGCTGGACCTGGGTGGGGGCTCACCCACCATGGATGGGCCAGGTAGCTTCTGGAATCACTAGAGAGATGAACTTCTTTTGCCTTCTAAATGTGTGAAAAGATGGGAAATCATAGGAAAATAAGGGGAAGTCAGATCTATTCAGGAAAATGACTTCCCAGGGAAGAGCTGGGGTCCCTCCAAACCCAGAACCTTCGGTTTCTAGAAGCAAGGTGGACCGAGGTCGGCAGCATTCTTTGAGACCTTGAGTGATGAAGTAGTTACTTAGGTACAGTGTTTCTCATGTAAAGCCAGGCAGTCTAGGGCACTAGGAATCATTTCAACGCTGGGGAGACGCAGACGTTGCGCTTGCCCACGGCACTGCGTTCATCTGAAATGCTGGTGGCTACACAGCTCTTTATTGCTGTTCCTGCGCAGTCTCCTGGAACGCTGTCAGGTTAAGGGCCCGTGTGGGCAGCAGCACCCTCGTTCGCAGTCGAGTTTAGGGAATGGGGTCAGAGAGCACTTGCTAAAGCTTCCTGTGTGCACATGGAATTGTGTGTGCATGTGTGTTAAATAAATGTATTTCAACCTGAAAGACAAGTTTCATGGCCATGAGTCTAGGGATGGCTAGAATTTAGTCACTCAGTGAAACTAAGCCACACCATCACAAATAATGTGAACATGATTGGAAAACAAACTCAGTTCTTACTCATTTACCTACAAGTCTGGAAACTTCTAGAACTTATTTCAGCATTAAAATAAATAGTTTTTTTTTTTTTTTTTTGAATATACAAATATACAAAAATAAGGAAAAGTTTGAAAGCCTCTTGCCCCTCTGTCCCAGACCTGACAGAGTGGCTTCCACAAAGAAAGGGGCAGAAGCCGGGGCCGTCAGTGCCTGCAGGACGTTGTTGGCCTCACAGATGACCCAGACTCCCCAGTAATGAAGCCGCAGACCCACAGCGAGCCACTCACACCAGGCTCAGCCAAGCTGACGGGCCAGAGGAGTAAGGAATGTTCCCTACCATTGTCCAGAAAATGTAACGAGGGTGAAGGTGTGCCAAGCAGACTCCCCGTGTCAGCCCCGAGGCGCCTGCCATCCCTTTCAGAAACCTGACTACCAACCTAGATCAAAACTGACTGCTTGGTCATGGCCATGCAGTTAGAAAACACAGCAGCAGTCCTCAGATGAGTGTGACCATATTCATGTTACTCAAGTTGCTTTATCATCTGCATTTGAAGGAATGTGGTGAGCCTCCTGTGTGTGCCCACGTGGCAGTGGGCACCTCTGCCCCCCACAAAGGCTAAGAACACAGAGCCTGCAGTACAGGCCCTGCCTCCTGACATGCCCCAGGCCAGCTGGAAGAAAGTGTGGGACTGTCCTGTTGACATGGGGAGGGGATGGCTGGACTCTGACGCTCACTGTGTGTTCTCTGCTGGACCGTGTGGCTCCCTACAGAGACTCTGGGTGCCCAGTATTCACCTTCTCCTATGTGTGTGTATATATATTATATATACATGTATTTACTAACTTAGAAAGCCCCCAAAGGGGCCTTGTTTCTGCTTGACAGCATCCACAGCATGTCATTCCTAAGCCCCATTGAGGAGATTCAGAAGCAACCAGTTACCCCCGGAGCCTGCATGCTGGACACAAGGGTCACAGCTTCGTTGACAGCTCCTGACCCCAGGAGCCGAGGGCCGGACATGGTAGGGCCTGGCAAAGGGGCACTGCCTTGTGTGTGAGGTGTTTTCGCCAGTCAGTCCCTTTTAAAAACAGCATATCTTTTGAAGAACAAGAAGTTTACGCAGGCATAAACAACTTACTTTGCGCATGGAGCTTTTAGGATGTTTCATGTCTGTTACGTTATAGCCTCTGTCCTCATGGGGGCTCTGAGTTCAGCAGCGCCTGAGCTGTTAATCTGCTTTTTCAAATTATTAATAATGAAAGTAACACCATGCCACCAGCTGGTATCATTTCATGCTTTCTGTGTGCCTGGTGTTTACACGGCTTATCTCATTTCATCCTCCCAGCATGTAACAAAAATACTTGCAACAGGTACTGCTCCTGTGTGGACTCCTACCCCCAGCTCACACTGATTGAGGCCTTCCTAGCTCGGGTCTTTGTGAATATCCTGCTTTTATCCTCATTTATAGGTAAGCAAGCTGACTCAGAGAGGTTAAGCAGCTGGTGCTGGGCCCGCACCCAGGGGTCTGATGCAGAGCTGGTCCTACCTGCTTTATAAGCTGTGGCTCAGAGGGCGCTCCGGGGGCTCGAGAGCACCTGGCGGTCTGAGATGAAGACTGGGGAGGCCTGGGAGGCAGGCGCTTGACTGAGGCAGGAAGTGGGACCTTGGGGCTGAGTGTTCCCAG